GGGCGTTCGGTGGAACCCCCTATGGGGCCACGAACCGTGTGAGGGGTGCGCCAAAATGGTGCGGGGCCGCCATGCGAACCCTGCCACCGGGGCCTTTCGGTGGAGCTCCCTATGGGGCTACGAACCGTGTGAGGGGAGCGCCAAAACGCGGGGCCGCCATGCGAACCCTGCCACTGGGGCCTTCGGTGGAGCTCCCTATGGGGCCACGAAACGCTGAACTGGGCGGGTGAAACGCAGGGAGGAGGGAGGAGGGGGAGGAGGAGGGGGCAGCGGGAGGAGACGCGGGGCACCGTCTCTTCAAAACGAGGACCCAACACCACAGGATGGTTGGGAAAAACTTTCGCGCGCGCTCTTGCGAATTATTGGGGGAACCGTTGGTTTCTCAACATGCTCAAAAGAAACGCTACTAAACGGGCTTCGCGCGCGCACGTGTCGAAATCGTTCGAACGCCATTGCGCGCTTGCCGTCGCGAAGATCCCCTGCAAAAGAACGAGGCGAAGTGCACGCGCGCGCCGTCGCGCGCATGCCTAAATCCGTCAAAAACCTTCGGTTGCGTAAGAATTCCAAAACCGAGTGACCCAAAGGCTGATAAAACCACATGGTTTCGCAGCATCCGTTTTCAAAAAAATCGCGCGCTCGCGCTCTTGCGCATTTAAGCAAAGAGTCGGTTTGTCAACATGTTCACGGAATTCTGCCAAGCGGGCCTTTGGCGCCGCATTCCGGAATCATTCGCGCCGCCTTGCGCGCGCTCTGGGGGGGGGGGAGGGCACGAACAACGTCAAATAATTCAAGCGGGCTGCTCTCGCGCGTCGGCCGCGCGCGCGTCAAACTATTGCCAAAACCTTCATCACCGACGCGAGGGCGCCGTCATCGTCGTTGGCGTGATCAGCTTCGGCGCCGGCACTGGACTGGCCGCGACGTCGTCGTTGTCAACATCGTCACTAGCATCTCTACGATCATCATCGTGTCTACCGTCGTCGACGTTGCCATGATACCGCGCCCGCCCAAGTTGCCGACTCGCACTGAAGTGCCCGCTGGGGTGTGCCCAGCGGTCAGCGCCACCGCGGCCGCGTCGTTCGCTCTAAACTAGCTGGCCGCTGCGCGCGCATCCTTGGGTTGGCGCGGCCGCAGAGATGCACCAGCCAACGCCGAGCATGCATCGCAATCGCCACCGCATGGGTTGTGCAAACCAAGTTGCGGATGGGTGGGTGGGATGGTTGTAAGAGCATGGAGTGCGTCAGCTGGTTTGTAAAAAATATCACTTGCACAATCGCGATTGCACCATGTTACGATTGCACAACATACATCGCACAACACGTGTGCCAAAACATCGATCGCACCGCATACATTGCATACAATTGGTCCCGTGACACAGATTCTCCTTTCTAAAAAGAAAATAGACTCTACCCCCCCCCCCCGCGTTATCGGTCCCCCTTGCGGGTATGCAGATCCTATATGATTATGACCACATGTCCATCCTAACTATGAATTTACACTATCCCAGGGGGGCCGGTATCGACCCCCTGAAGTTCCATTGTTTGGTAAATAAAAAAAAACAAAACAAAAAAAAACGATACGCGGGGGCATCTTTTGTTCTAACATAAGACTGTTTCGCGAATCCCTTGAACAAAAAAACCGAAGACGCGCGCGTCGTCGCGCGCGCATGCCGACATGCTTCAAAAACCGTGGTGTCGGAAGGATTTCGCAATCGAGTTTTCAAAAAAAGATGGTTTCGCGACACAGATTTGCTAAAACAACTTCCGCGCGAGCTCTTGCGAAATCTTAAGAAAACCATCGGCTTTTCAAGATTTTCACAAAATACTATCAAACGGGCTTCGCGCGCTCGCATGTCGAAATCTGTCGAACGCCCTTGCGCGTGTCCCGTCGCGAGAATCCTCTGCAACAAATTGGACGAAGTGCAGACGCGCGAGTCGTCGCGCGCGTCTGCAGAAATCATTCAAAACCCATCGGTTTCGGAAGGATTGCACAATCGTGTGCCCAAAAAACCTACAAAAACTCAAGGTTTCGCAACACGGATTTTCAACAAAAGTGTGCGCGCGTGCGTTTGCGTCGTCGTCGTCGTCGTCGCCGTCCTCCCTCCTCCCGCGTCGTCGTCGTCGCCTACGTCGTCCTCTGTCTTTCCTCGTGTTCGTCGTCATCGTCTTTGTTTTCGTTGTGGTCGTTTCCGTCGTCGTTGTCTCCGTGGTCTCTTCCTCTTCCCTCGTCGTCGTCGTCGTCCGTCGTCGGCGTCTCGTCGTCGTCCCTCCTATTTCGTCGCCGTCGTCGTCGTCGTCGTTGTCGTCGTCGTCTCCCCTCCTCCCTCGTCGTTGTCGTCGTCGGCGTCGCCGTCCTTCCTCCTTCTTCGTCGTTCGCGTCGTCGCCTTCCTCCCTCCTCCCTCGTCGTTGTCGTCGTTGTCGTCGTTGTCGCCGTCGTCGTCCTCCCTCCTCCCTCGTCGCCGTCTTCGATGGCGACGTCGTCCTCGTCTTCGTCGTCGTCGTCGACGTCGGCGTCGTCGTCGTCGAAGTCGGCGTCGTCGTCGTTGTTTTGTCGTCGTCTTCGTCGTCGTCGTCGGCGTCGTTGACATCGTCGTCGTCGGTGTCGGTGTCGTGGTTGTCGTCGTCGTCGTCGGCGTCGTCATCGTCGTCATCGTTGTCATTTGGTACCCACCGTCACGGTCTTAAGAGGTTTTGCAAACCAAGTTGCGGGTGGGTGGGTGGGATGTTTGCAAGAGCATGGGATGTTTCAAACCATGGGTAAAAATCAGTTTCACAGCATAGATTGCATAACATAGGTCGGACCATATGGACTTCACCACACATAGATTGCACCGCACATGTTGCACCACATAGGTTGCACGAAATAGATTGCCCCACATCGATTGCACTACACATAATGCTAAATCACACACTGTGTTGGACCTGCGTTGGCTAACATGTTACTTACAAATATTGGTGGTTGGATTCCGTATGGTCATCCACCTCCTCCGACGACGACCCCCGGTCCTCTGCCAACGCCTAGTCCTTCTCCTCGTCGTCCTCCTCCTCCTCCTCCTCCAACTCAACCCGCCTCCTCCTCCGCCTCCGCCTCCGCCTCCGCCTCCGCCTCCGCCTCCGCCTCCTCCTCCTCCTGCTCCTCCTCCGCCTCCTCCTCCGCCGCCTCCTCCTTCTCCTCATCCTCCTCCTCCTCCGCCGCATCCTCCGCATCCGCCTCCTCCTCCCCCTCCTCCTCCTCCTCCCACGCCTACGCCTCCTCCTCTTCCTCCTCCTCCTCCGCTTCTTCCTCCTCCGCCTCCGACGCCGCCTCCACCTCCGCCTCCTCCTCCAACTCCTCCTCCTCCTCCTCCTCCTTCTCCTCCTCCTCCTCCTCCTCCTCCTACTCCTCCTCATCCTTCTCATCCTTTTTCGGGCCTCCCTCCGCCTCCGTCTACAGATCCACTACCCTATTCCTTCTCGCAGTGTCACTCTTCCACGTTCTCCCCCCATCATCCCCCCCTTCAATACCTTGGACGCAAAACGGAGCGCGCCCCAACGAGGGTCAAATTGCGGCCCGCACCAACAACAACAACAACGGTGCACGCGCACACCACTTACGTAGGGGGCCGGGACGGCCCACCGCCTATTTTCCAGATATGGCTCGCGAAGGAAATGTGTGGGTGGCTGAGGGCTGGCGTCACTGGGGAGGCCCCAGGGCAGAGGACGAGGGCAGCGACAACGAGAAAGAGAGAGCTTGTCTGTGAGAGGGATAGCAATAGATACCTTCATATATCTATATGTCAATATATATATAGAGAGAGAGAGAAAGATAATGAATATATACATATATATATGTATGCATAACGAAGGAGAGAGCGATACAAAAAAGGAAGCAGGCAGAAAGAAAGAGAGTGAGAGAGACCATAACAACAAACGAAAAACTTAAAATGTCACATGCTAATGGTCTGGAGTATCATCTTCCTGCTGCTGCTGATCCTCCTCCTCCTCCTCCTCCTCAACCCTTCCCGTCCTCCTTCCTCCGATGATCAATCCCCTGACCTTCCAGGGGCGTGCGCGAACCAGATTTGAGGCGGATCCAGCCGTGGCGACGAGGGTGCCCCAGGATGCCCACCTTCCTGAGGGAACCGAAAACTGCATCAGCATAAACTGTTGGAGGTCCGCGGCGAGTGCTTGGATCGGCGCTGGACCCTTGGGGGCGCCTCAGGCGCCGCCCCCGGCGCGGTCCGCGCCAGGGGGGAGGGCCAACGCAGACGCAAGAGATCCGCAGTCCGCGCGGACTTCCGAAAGCTGATGCGCTTGCAGTCGGTTCGTCTTCGATCCCCCCCCCTCCCCGTTAAGCCAGACAACTCGAGCATCGGGCCTCGCTCTTCTCGGTGATCCTCAGAACGCGCTGCTGCGCCAACGTGTGTTTGTCAACAGAAGCCCTTCAGCACGACGCAGGCGGTGCAGTGAGGACCGACACACTGCAGCGTGCTGCTGGCGGAGCTGGACACGATAAGCACGCATCGGGCTGCGACTCAACCCGAGGTTAATCGATCCCCCCCCTTGAAGGAGGAGGAGGAGGAGGAGGGGGAGGAGGAGGATGCGCGACGCGCACTCCTATTCCGATCGGTTTCCCTCTGCCCCACCTTCCTTCAGAATCTCCTCGCGCTCCTCCATCCCCCTCATCCTCCTCGTTCCTCCTCCGCCTGGTGCCTCCTCCTCCTGCTCCTCCTCCTCCGCCTCCCCTCCCCCTCTCCTCCTCCCTCCTCCTCGAGCCTCCCGCGCGCGACCGCCCCTCCACCCCCCCTGGAGATGGGCGCCCGCTCCCGCGGCGTGGGCACACGTGGGCACGACGACGAAGACCACCACCACCACCACCACGCCAACGACGGCGACGGCGACGGGCGACGGCGGCGGGCGGCGGCGACGGCGGCCGCGACGACAGGCGGCGGCGGCGGCGGCGGCGGGGGGGGCGACGACGACGACGACGACGGCGACGACGACGGCGGCGGCATCCGAAGCGCCTGTTCCTGGAAGGAGGAGGGCTCGAAGCTGACGACGCTGGAGCGCTGGCTGCAGATTGTGACCAAGTCGGCAAAGCTCGGGCGGCGGGGGGGCTTCAGCTGGTCTCCGCAGACGTCGTTCCTGCTGGGAGGGGGTCCTTCCTCCGCCTCCTTTTCCTCCTCCTCCTCCTCCTCCTCCATCTCCTCCTCCTCCTCCTCCTCCTCCTCCTCCTCCCCTCCTCCTCCTCCTCCTCCTGCTCCCGCTCCCCCCTCCTCCTCCTGCTGCTGCTCCACCTCCTCCTCCTCCTCCTGCTCCTCCTCTACCTCCGCCTCCGCCTCCTCCGCCTCCTCTTCCCCCTCCTCCTCCTCCTCCTCCTCCTCTCCTCCTCCTCCCCCTCCTCCTCTCTCCTCCTCCTCCTCCTCCTCCTCCTCCTCTCCTCCTCCTCCTCCTCCTCCTCCTCCCTCCTCCCCGCTCTCCTCTTTTCCTCCTCCTCCTCCTCCTCCTCCTCCTCCCTCCTCCTCCTCCTCCTCCTCCTCACCACCACCACCATCATCAGCAGCAGCAGCATCATCATCACCACCACCATCATCATCAGCAGCAGCATCATCATCATAATCAGCATAGTATGCCTCCTCTTCAACATCATCATCATCATCATCATCATCATCATCATCATCATCATCATCATCATCATCATCATCATCATCATCATCATCATCATCACCATCATCATCACCATCATCAGCATCATCAGCAGCAGCAGCATCATCGTCAGCGTCAGCAGCATAATCAGCATCATCATCACCATTATCATCATTATCAGCAGCAGCAACTTCATCATCATAATCAACAACCTCGTCAGCATCAACATCGTCAGCATCATCGTCATCATCATCATCATCGTCATCATCATCATCGTCATCATCATCATCATCATCAGCATCATCATCATCATCATCATCAGCATCATCATCATCAGCTTCATCAGCATCATCATCATCAGCAGCATCACCATCACCATCAGCATCATCATCATCATCAGCATCATCATCAGCAACAGCAGCATCATCCCGGTTCCGCCTCCTCCTCCCCCTTCTCCTCCGCCTCTTCCTCCTCCTCCTCCTCCTCCTCCTCCTCCTCCTCCTCATCAGCCTCCTCCTCATCAGCCTCCTCCTCCGCCTCCTCCTCTTCCTCCTCCCCCTCCTCCTGAATGGAGGGGAGGGGAGGGGAGGGAGGAGAGGGAGGGAGGCCTCAGGGGGGGAGAGGAGAGGAGGAAGGTGTGGAAGGGTGGACGGGAAAGGAAGGCGTGGGAGGGAGGGTACATACTTGTTCATGTGTCGCTCTGTCATGGCTGCAGAGGGGGGAGAGACGAAAGTGGACAGGGGGAGGAGATGGAGGATGACGAGTGGGTACGGAGGACAGATCAGGAGGACAAGTCGTCAGGTTCGCGGGTCAGTTAGGAGACCTCTTGGAGGTTCCAACGGGTTTCAGGGGGGAGGGAGACGGGATTCTCTGCTGGTCCCTACAGGTGCTGGCCGTGCAGGATGGGCTGCTCCTCGTACTCCTCATACATCGCCTCCTCACCTTCACTCCTGCTCCTCCTCCTCCTCCTCCTCTTCCTCTTCCTCCTCCTCTTCCTCATCCTCCTCCTCCTCCTCCTCCTGCTCCTCCTCCACCTACTCCTCCTCCTTCTCCTCCTCCTGCTCCTCCTTCTCCTCCTTCTCATCCTCCTCCGCCTCCATTCCTTCTCCTTAGTATAAACAAATTCTCCCTATCGCTCCCCGAAGCCAGTTTTTAGGGCGGGCCGGGAGTTTCGCCTGAGACTTCCTCAACCCTGATGACCCTGAAGCTGAATTAAACATTTGACAACAGCTTCGCAGATGGAGGGCGGGCGGTTTTCAAAATAAGGCTCTCGCCTTAGCGTCGCGCACATTCGCTTTCAACATTTGCAAGAGCTTCACGGATTGAGGGCGGGTGATTTTCAACATGTGGCTCTCGCCGTAGCACCGCGCACATGTGTTTACAACATTTGCAAGAGTTTCACAGGTTGAGGGCGGGTGGTTTTCAACATGTGGCTCTCGCCTGAGCGCCGCGCACATTCGTGTTTAAAATTTGCAAGGGTTTCACGGATTGAGGGCGGGTGGTTTTCAACATGTGGCGCTCGCCTGAGCGCCGCGCACATTCGTGTGTGAGGGCGGTTCCTTTTCAAAATGGGGGCCTCCCCTGAGCGCCGCGCACACTCGTGCTAAAAGTTTGCAAGAGCTTCATGGATTGAGGGAGGCTCCTTTTCAAAATGTGGCTCTCGCCTAAGCGCCGCGCAAATTCCTATTCAAAAATGCAAGACTTTCACGGATTCCCATGATCGGCGTACCAGAAATTGTGTTTTGGACAGCTTCACGAGCATGGGGGCGCAACAGTTACGATGATTCGCGGTGAAGTCCCAGGAATGGCGTTCTGGCACGATTCAGGATCGTCAAGATGCAACAGTCAGGTTTATCCGTGGCGTTGGAATACCGAGCACAATGCCTTGGCATGCTTCAGGGTCTTCAAACGGATGTCTTCGAGCGAGGCAGGTCTCGCAGAGGAAATGAACTGTTGCAGGAACCTGAGAAGAGGGAGTATGGGGGGAGGGCTTATTTCAACATCGTTGGTGACTCTTGGGTTTGCACAAGTCCTCCTCCTCCTCCTCCTGCTCCTACTCCTCCTCCTCTCCCTCCCCCTTCTCCTCCTTAACCTCCTCCTCCTCCCCCTCCCCCATCCTCCTCCTCATCCTCCATCTCATCCCCCTCCGTCTCCTGCTCCTCCTCCTCCTCATCCTCCTCATCATCATCGTCATGATCATCCTCAACATCCCCAGCATCAGCATCAGCATCATCACCAGCAGCATCAGCAGCATCGTCATCATCATCAGCCTCATCATCGTCATCCGCATCAGCATCGTCATCACCATCATCATCATCATCATCGTCATCATCATCATCATCATCATCATCATCATCATCATCATCAGCATCATCATCATCATCATCATCATCATCATCATCGTCATCATCATCATCATCAGCGGCAGCATCAACATCATCGTGCTCATCAGCATCAACATCATCATAACCATCATCATCACCATCACCATCACCCTCATCAGCGGCAGCATCATCAGCCGCATCAACATCAACCGCATCAGCATCAGCATCAGCATCAGCATCAGCATCGGCGTCATCATCAGCATCATCAGCATCATCAGCAGCAGCATCAGTATCAGCATCATCATAGCATCATCATCATCATCAGCCGCATCAACGTCATCACCCTTAGCAGCAGCAGCCGCAGCAGGAAGCACCAGCGACGACGTCCCCAGCGTCAGCGCCAGCATCATCATCATAATCAGCATCATCATCATCAGCAGCAACATCACCAGCATCAGCAGCATCATCAGCATCATCATCAGCATCGTCATCATCATCATCATCATCAGCAGCATCAACATAAACATCGTCATCATCATCATCATCAGCAGCAGCATCATCATCATCAACATCATCATCATCATCCGCACCAGCATCATCAGCATCAGCATTAGCGACATCATCATCAGCATCATCTTCATCGTCAACCTCATCAACCTCGACATCAGCATCATCAGCATCACCCTCATCCTCATCATCAGCATCAACATCATCATCGGCAGCAACATCATGGTCATCATCACCGTCCTCATCAGCATCGACATCATCACCATCATCATCACCGTGCTCATCATCATCACCATCATCAGCAGCATCATCGTAATCACCAGCATCCTCAGCATCATCATCACCAGCAGCAGCATAAGCATCAGCATCATCATCATCATCATCATCATCATCATCAGCATCAGCATCAGCTTCATCATCATCCTCATCCTCCTCCTCCTTTCCATCCTCATCATTACCATCCTCCTCTTCCTCGTCGTCATCCTGATCCTCCTCCTCCTCATCCTCGTTCTCCTCCTCCTCCTCCTCCTCCTCTTCCCACACTGCATGCTAAGCCCATGGGGCGCTCGTCGTTCAATTGGGGCGCCCCACGTAGACAAACGGCAATACCTGCAGGGACGCGAGAGGAGGAACTTGAGACGGGAGGGTGTAGTGCAGCATAGTTGACACGTCCTGGACTCACATGCGTCCTCCTCATGCCTCTCCTCCTCGGGAACCTCGTGGTCACCTCCCAGGGGAGTCTATGGCCCGCTTGGGCCATCCTCACGGTCACTCCATATCCAGGCAAGTGCTGTTCCCTCAGGAGGAGGTAGGTGGATGAGGGCGAGGAGGGGAGAAGGAGGAGGAGGAGGAGGACGACGACGTCTACGAAGACAACACGGATACCGCTGATGAGGGAAGTGAACAAGCGATTTGAGAATGGGAGGTGCAGGAGGAGGAGTAGAGGACATGCATCGAAGGGACGAAGATGTTAATAGTTTTAGGGGAGTTCATGGGCTTCCTAAGGATTATTAGAGAGGCTCTACGGTAATCGGGAAGGTTGCACGGGGAGCACCGGTTACAATCGGTTACGCTGAGAAGGACGATGTGACTCATGCCACACACGGATAAAAACACCGCCGCATCAGACCCCATGAAGCCCTCTGGCAACCGCATTGCCTCCCTCCTCACTCTCCTCCTCTTCCTCCTCCTCCTCCTCCTCCTACCTCCTCCCTCCTCCCTCCTCCCTCCTCCTCCTCCCTCCCCCTCCCCCTCCCTCCTCCCTCCCTCCCTCCTCCCCCCCCCCTCCCCCCTCCTCCTCCTCCTCCTCCTTCTCCTCCCTCCTCCCTCCTCCCTCCTCCTTCCTCCCTCTTCCTCCTCCTCCTCCTCCGACCTCGGTGGCTCCCGGCCGACGCGCGCGACGGGCGGCCCCCAGCGCCCGGGCCTGGACTGGATCCGAGCGATGGCGTCCTTCAGGCGCGACTGCCTGGGGCCGCCCCTGGCTCCCAGGTTCCCCAAGCCTCCACCAGCGCCTTGAGCAAAATTACTGCAGGTCCGTGCCGTGTCGACCCTGGCGTTGGTTCCTGACACCGCGCTGGATCGTTCAACCTTGAACGATCGGCCGTCTCCGCAACGTCCGATCGTTCAACATCGACCGATTCTGGGCCGCCGTCGGCGTTCAACGTTGAACGTCGGCGGCGGGGTCGCCGCCGGTCGACACGACGCGAACCTACCGTACGGCGATCATCTTCCAGATGCCTCAACATTCAGGAGCCGTTCTCGGGGGCCGGGGCCAACAGCAAAAACAACGCGGGGTGGAGAGCGTCCAGCTCCCACATGGCTCGGCATTCGGGAGCCGCGTCCGGGGGTCGGGGCCCTCCGCAAAGACCACTCGGGATGAAATGGCTGCCCAGGGAGAGTGGGTCGGGATTTCTGGGCACACCGTCTTGGAACAACAACAACAACAACAACAACAACAACAACAACAACAACAACAACAACAACAACAACAAACAGCGACGACCCGAACATCGGCGGAAGGCCCGTGCTGGGCGCGAGAGGCCGACTCTCAGAACCCTGCTCCGCCGAAACCCCTCCTCTTCCTCCTCACCATCCCACTCGTGCTTCACCTTCTGTGAGTGTGGCGGGAGGAGCCCCGTCAGTGGCAGACCACGCGCCGATTGGAAACCGATCGCCTGCAAGCAAGTCAGGAGCATCATCTTTCTCTCTCGGTGGTGAACAGAGCGTCGTGACGCTACCCCTCTGGCGCAAGGATATGTAGCGCTCTGAAGCAGCACTACAGGCTGATGCGATTGCAACCAGCAGCACAACAGTCGCAGGCGGCCATCTGGCCACAAATGGGGGATGCCCTCAGGAGATGATCGTTCGACAGCAACTGAAGAAATCATGAAGAGGGATTGCATCTGACCTACAATGACGGCATTCTTGAAAGGGGGAGCCTGACATCTGGCCACAACAGGGAAGACCCTTTGGGGGCCCTATCATGAAGAACATGCAAGAAGGTACCCTTACTATTCCACCACGAGCAAGGGAACCTTCGGGGACCCCTGTCGTATGACCCAAAAACTAAGGGTATGTAGCCGAAAATAAAACTATATAAAAAAACAAGGGGGGTATGATACGACTGCGTCTGAGGAAATCCCCGGGGGCGCTGGACCTTATCATCTGACCACAAGTCGGGAAAGCCATAGGTGGGTACGCCCTGACCCTTGTTTCGTACGCTCCCCCCTTGCAGCAAGCAGATCGGCCCCATTTCTTGCGTGGACGTCCCACAACTGCCCCCTGCTCCTCTTTTACGCCTCCGCTTCAACCTCCTCCTCCGGAATTGAAGCTGTTAGTACCTAACTGCGAAGACTGTTAGGTTTCTAATGGTCTCAAAAGAGAGCATCTTGACTCCTCAGGGGGGTCTGGGCAGATGCCGGACGGGTGCCGGGGAGAATCCGCAGAAGTCGTTTCAAGCAAACAGTTACACACTTCGTGGTCTTCGAGGTCCCAGAACTCCATTCCCGGGCCACATTCTGAATGCCCGGAGCCAACTGTAAGCCACTTCGTGCTCTTCGAGTTCCCAGAACTCAATTCCTGGGCCACATTTTCAATGCCCGGAGCCAACTGTAGGCCACTTCGTGCTCTTCGAGTTCCCAGAATTCCATTCCCGGGCCACATTTTCAATGCCCGGAGCCAGCTGTAGGCCACTTCGTGCTCTTCGAGTTCCCCGAACTTCACTCCCGGGCCACATTTTCAATGCCCGGAGCCAACTGTATAGGCCACTTCGTGCTCTTCGAGTTCCCAGAACTCCATTCCCGGGCCACATTTTCAATGCCCGGAGCCAACTGTAGGAGGAGCAGGGGCAAGAGCACGAGGAGGAGGAGGACGAGCAAGACAAGGAGGACGAGGACGAGCACGAGGAGGAGGAGGAGGAGGAGCAGGAGAAGGAGGACGAGCAGGAGGAGGAGGAGGAGGAGGAGGAGGACTAGGACTCCTACATGCGAAGACGAGCAGGAGGACGAGCGACTGCGAGGACACCAGAATTCTACACCAGGACTCCTACATGAATCTCAAGGGCAATGCTTCCAGATATGCTTCTACACATCGCTGTTAGGTTGCTTTGCCGGGATAATTTTGTTGATTTCTGCGCTGGCGGTCGCTCAGCGAGGATTGGCCTGAACGGGTTGCGCATTGGCAGCTTGGCACCAAGGATCGCGGGAATGGGGGAGAGCAGCCGCGGATGGTGGGGGGCCGAAGCTGGGCGAGGCGCTCACAAAGGAAACTGAAACTGAGACGGGGCGGGGACTCGCCATCGCGCGGACGTCAATTCCCAGTGCATGGTGTCTGCTTCGTGCGTGCATTCTCTCGCAAGATGATCCAGGGTGCTCTTCGGTGGTCCTCGCCGAGCAAATGCACACGTCCGAGCGATGCCAAGGGGAAGGCGCACCCACACTCCAAAGCGGAAGCCTCACGCATTGGAGTGCTGCCGCGACGCGACAACAACCGGCGGGACAACAGCATGGCGAGCGAGCTCGACCCCATCGTAGCACTTTCTGCAGATCACGCTTCAACATCTGAGGGGAGATATGGCGACGCTGATCCCCAACTTTACGGGGTGTCCGACTTGATCAAAGAGTGTGTGGCCAAACACTGGGGTGTTCTACGAGGGGTACATCCTTCCACGAGAGGGCTGGGCCCGAATAGCCCCTGGAAGTGCCCCCGAGTTCCCGCTCTCTTCTGGGCGGCCTGCTTTTGGGGGGGAGGAGCCTGCATTGGGTAAACCGTCAACCTTGGCTACAGCCGGGAACTCGTAGAGCTTCCTTCCGATATACATGAATGGGATGCGGGCGTGGCAATCTCGCATTCCGCTCGCGCGAGGGTGCGGATTCATGGAGGAGGACGTGGAGGAGAAGAAGGAGTGGGGGGGGGAGAAGGAGGCGGAGGCAGCTAAGAAAGAGGAGGAGGAGGCACCAGACCGCCCGCGACCGCCCCCTCCCGCCGCAGATCCGAGCGGCCAGCGGTCGGCGGCGGGCCTCTTGTACGTCAGCTTCTCCGACGCGGTGCTCAGGGTGTGGGCCTCTGCCGCTCGGGAGGCGGGCGCGCCGGCGGCGCGGGGGCGGGCGGCGCCCACGGGCGCCCAGCAGCACGGGCCTCCACGGTGCGCACGGACGGCCCCGGCAGGAGGGGGCAGCCCGACACCGGTCCTGGGCCCAGAAGCGGCCCAGCCAGGCTCGGCGCGAGGCTCTCTCTCTCTCTCTCTCTCTTTCTCCTGGGACCCGACGTGTCGCGAACGGAGATGCAGCATCACGGGCCGCGGCGCTTCTCGGGCCGGATCCACCTGCGAGGGCCCCAGGGCTCGACTCTGGGCCAAGACGCCCGGCGCGGAGAAGTTGCAACTCCAGGATCTCGGGGGCAGCAGCTCCCTCCGGCCAGGGGGCTGCCGTCGAGCCCAGGAGCCATCACAAGCAGGTGGAGGTGGCCCGCGGCGACCAGAAGACTGCCACGGTGAGAGTGGGCACGAGCGCTGGCAGCCCCTGTGTGGCTCATCCCGAAAACCCTGCACCAACAGAAGCTCATACCTCTCCCTTGCTCCTGTTTTTGCCGGGCGCGAGCGGGCCCCGGCGGCGCACGCGCAGGGCCGGGCGGGGCTCGGGGCGGGCGGCCCGCGCGGGGCGGCACGGCCCTCGGGCGCGGCGGTCGCAGGGGCGACGGCTCGGCGGCGAGTGAGGGGGGGGGGAAGAGCAGGAGAGGGGAGGCGAGCTTGGCTTCCGCCGGCTGCCGCCCGCCTTCCGCCCGCTGGCGGAGCCGCCCCCGCTTCCGCCCGCTTCCTCCTTCGCGCGCACTGCTCCCTCTCGCCGCTGGAAGCTCCGCGGTGGGCCCCATGGGAACAAAAAAAGCTCGACGGAAACGGTCTTCCCTGCGCGATCCAACGTCGTGCCAGATCGGGGCCCCAGGAGGCGCGGGTAGACGGGCGATGCGACTCGCAGGAACCTGAGCCATCGGGGGCTCCACAACCCCGCCCGCAAGCACCCCCACGTCTGTGAGGGTGGCACCGCCCGCTTCCGCCGCCTTCTGCGGAGGGTGGCACCGCCGCGGCCGCAGCCGCCGCCGCCGCCGCCGCCCGCCGTCGTCGTCGTCGTCGTCGTCGTCGTCGTCGTCGTCGTCGCCGTCATCGTCGTCGTCCCTGTCGCCGTCTGTGAGGGAGCGCAACGCCTTCGATGGCCTTGAGAGCGAGGCCGTTCCTGGAGAACCCCATGGGACGAGCAGAAAACTGAGGGCACCCGCAACTCTGAGGTCCGCGCAGATTGCTCGGATCGGCGCTGGGGGGCCCCGGCGGCGCCTCTGGCGCCGCCCCTGACGCGCTCCGCGCGCCAGGAAGAGGGGTCCGGCGCCGATCCGAGAAATCCGCGCGGACCTCCGAGTTTTTACCTAACAGCGAAGACTGATAGGTTTCTAGTGGTCTCAAAAGAACCCAGAGGTCCATCGGATCACTTATAGTGATCCGGACCATTTGGTGCACATGAGCAAGTTCGGTCGGATCATGTTCATACATGACACGTTTGATCGGATCACTTTTGTTTGGTGATGACATCATGAGAAATCGATATACCATGGAAAATTCACATGACGTAGAGATCACGCCTAAACGAGCATATTACACATCGCTCACACGCTGCGCACGCACATAATTCTAGACACGCACACTTTTTGAGCACGTGGCGCATAGGCACCTGGCGCGCCTGGCGCGCAGGTCCAACAAGTCCTCGTTCTGGCGGGGTGGCCCCAGGAACGCCACACCTGGCGACGCGGGCAGACGATCGCACGGATCGGGATGGCGAGGTCGATCGAATCGGGCGATCGGTCGGGTGGATCGGGTGTCGGCGGAATCGGCAGTCGGTGGTTTCGTTTGTTTCGGTCAGTGCGGATCGGGGACGGGCGGTCGGGGGCTCGGAGCATTGTTGGCAGTGGTTTCGCCCATTTCGAGTGGATCGGGGTCGGGCGGATCGGAGTCGCGCGGATCGGGGTCGGGCGGACCGATTGATTCGCTCGTTTCGGGCATTTCGATCGAATCAAGAACGATGTTAACTCTTCCATGTTTCGAGCTCGCACTCGATGGGGTCCTCCGTTTGGATGCTCTCGGCTGAAGCTCGCAGGGACTCGGATCCTCATGCTTGCACGGATTATGCGGCTGTACCGTGGATTTTGACCTTGTCACAGCCCTGGGTCCCGAGTCCTGTGCGGTGTTCAAAGCAGCCGATCAAGGGATTCTTGGGGCGGATGACCGCCGTCTCGGATCCAGGGCGCCCCGTAGACGATACAGATAAGTAAGCCTAAGTAACGACGACGACGACGACGACGACGACGACGACGACGACGACGACGAGAGTTGGATGGGATGATTTCTGGGGGAGTCCGTAGAAGCGAGGGGCGAGGGGAGAGAGGAGAATAGTATTCATATGTAATAATAACGGTAGAGAGGAAGGAGGATGAGGAGGAACGGGAGGAGGAGGAGGAGGAGGAGGAGGAGGAGGAGGAGCAGGAGCAGGAGCAGGAGGAGGAGGGGGAAGACGCCAGAGGAGGGAGGAGAGAGGAGAGAGGACTAGTAGGGTCGCGGGGCCATCCACCATCACGAGCAGGGTGCGTTGAGGGATGCGCCAGGGGCTCCGACGGTCTCGGCGGAGGCCGCCGCCGCCGTCGTCATCGGCGTCGTCGTCGTCGTCGGCATCGTCGTGGTCGTCGTCGTCGAGGTCGTATTCGTCGTCGTCGTCGCCGTCGCATGAACATTCGTCTCAGTAGATATCCCATTCATCGGACTCAGCGCCAATGCTCCGAATGCTTATCCCAATCAGCGCGGACGATGACAGCGTGGAACAGTGGCTTGACCAGCCGCGCCAGCATGAGGTGAGAATAGGTTGGTAATGTAAGGAGGTGGTGGTGAGAAAGATGATTCGAAGCGAGGATGAGAGGGCGATGAAAGATGATGGAGGCGATGAGAGGGTGAGCGGGCGATGAGAGGATGAGAGGGCGATGAGAGGGTGGGCACCGAGAGAGGACATGCTCGGAATGCGCGGCAGTGGGCACGACTAATTCAAAACAGCATCGCGCTGAACTTGATACTGAAATCAATGTCCTCGAGCCAAGTCGGATCGTATGGGAACGTATGCATCATGATAGGGCCTTGCCAGCCCATGCCAGGAGGGTGAAACTCCAAATCCTGATGACCGAAATCAGCGCAAATGAACTCCGCGGGTGTCGTCGCCGCGTGGCGCGATGCTGATTTGGGCAGCCAGGATTTGAATGTTCGCCCTCCAGTGATTTCATAGAGGCGGTGGGTATGGTAGCCAAGCGAGCAGAGCCAGTCACGCGAATAGATATGGCGGATCTCCCGGATCTCCACAGGGCGGGGCATCATTGCAATCCACCCCTTCGCAGGCAAAGAAATCAACACCCGTGTTGATTCGAACCCCCATCTCGTCTTATCCGCGGCGCTCCCCCCCCTTGACGTTTGCCGCCAAGGCCAGGGAGGCAGTCGGGTTTGTGGAAGGGGATGGCGGGGGCATGCGAGATCCCACGCAAGTTCACATGCAAAGGATCGTGCATGGGAATTGTTTCCAGTTGAGGGTTTCGCACACACGCGCACACACATGTATGTATATATGGATAACGCACCCGTTGGGTTAGCGGGTCGAGTGAGAGAGCGAGATAGAGGGGGAGGGAGAGGGAGAGAGAGAGAGAGAGAGAGATGGAGATAGATATTGGATAAGGGTTGGCGTGTGAGGGAGGGAGGGATGGTGGGAGGGAGGGTGGAGAAGATAGGTGTGTATATGCAACGCTTGTGTGTATAAAAGCACACACACCTGAATGTATGTGTGTATGTGTAGCCAGCTAACAGTATTGCAACAGTGGCTTGATACGAAACGGCATCAGCAAAACAGACTTAGATTTCCTCGCCTGCTTAATGCTGTTCTTGATATGGACGTCAATATCCTTGTTTGCGTACAGCTTGCATGTGTTCGCGAGGTTGCGCACGCCCAGCAAGTAAGACATCGCCTGTTGCGAATACCCCACCCACCATCTCCCTCCACATGCTCACATCACATCATCCACCGTCCGCGTCTGAGTTTCCATGTTCATCATCCCCTAGCCCTCGCCTCATCCCTTTCCAGATTGAAGGGGCTATTCTGGTCGGACAGCGGAATACCAGTCCACGGGTACCGCGGCATAATACTCGCGGTCTGCATTGGCGTCATGGTTGGCTCACTTACAGTTGGGATGCAAAGCAAAGCTTGGGCCGCAAAGCTCTAGTGCAACGTTGATAGTGTGTGTGTGTTATCTCACATAGCCTCCAGTTCATCCTCGTACTCCTGTCGGACCCACACGACGACGACGACGACGACGACGACGACGACGACGACGACGACGACGACAACGACGACGACGACTACGACGGCGACGACGACGACGCTGACGACGACGACGACGACGACGACGACGACGACGACGGGGGTCCCCAGGGGGGCCTCCTCCTCCTCCCTCCTCCTCTTCCCTCCTCCTCCTCCTCCTCATCCTCCTTCTCCTCCTCCTCCTCCTCTTCGCCCCAATCATCATCGCCATCACCGTCATCATCATGATCATCATATTCATCATCATCACCATCATAATAGCCCTTATAAACATATAGTAACCGTTATCATAACGGTAATATTAATAGTAACAATATCAATAATACTAATAATGGTAGTCACCATCATCATCATCATCATCATCATCATCAGCATCATCAGCATCATCATCATCATCAGCATCATCATCATCAGCATCATCATAATCGTCGTCGTCGTAGTCGTCGTCGTCGTCGCCATCAGCATCATCAGCATCATCAGCATCACCATCATCATCATCATCATCATCATCATCATCATCATCATCATCATCCGCCTCCTCATCGCCCTCTCCCACCCCCTCCACCGCCTCCACCCCCATTCCCATCCCTCATCCCCTCGCCCCCCTTCCCCATCACTCCCATACTCCTCCTCGTCCCATCCCGCGCATCCAGTCGCAGTCCTGCTCGACTTG